GGTGAGTTTTTCTCCAGCGTGTCAACCTCTGGAGGGTTTGAGATATCAAGTGAACCCTTCTCTGCTAGCTCTGAACTCTCTGACGAGTCCGGGATAGTAGGCACTGCTGGGCCTTTCTCTGCTGGCTCCGGGCTCTCCGGTGAGTCTGGAATAATAGGCAGAGTTGGTCCTCTCTCAGCTGGCTCTGGGCTCTCTGGAGAGTCTGAAACACCAGACATGATTGGACTCTCCTCTATTGGATCGTGAATCATAGGAACAGCTGAATCATCCTGCTCTGCTACCTCGGGAGGTACATCCAAACCTCCCTCTACTGACTCAAGGCTCTCAGGTGACTCGGGGATCGTGATAGCCACCTCAGCGGTATTCTGTGGATCCTCCGGAATGACCATTGGATCGTGCACTTCTTCCATATCAATTGTTGAGTCAGGCTCCATTGGTGACTCAGATGTGTCCGAAGCCGCTGTCCCACCACCACTTCCAGATGATTGTGGAACAAGTATTTCATTGAAAACTGAATCCCAACTAGTTGTATCACCTGTCTCACTATTCACTTCAGACGAAGATATTCCGGAAAGGTCTATCAGCCCAACTACCAACTCACCAGCTCAGTGGAGCTCGCGTTGTCAGAGTCATCTGACTCTGCAGAGAGAATTGATTCGATGGTCTCGTTCTCCACATTTCTCTTAAATCTCTCNGCTCTCGTTGTCAGAGTCATCTGACTCTGCAGAGAGAATTGATTCGATGGTCTCGTTCTCCACATTTCTCTTAAATCTCTCGGTGAATTTCATATTTTGAATGAATTGACGAACTGTAACGATTTCTAAAGTTGCAATTATTTCGTGATCAGACATCACACAAAAGAAGAGCACTATGCACCTTAGCTCATTGAATCGGAATGTACCGAACAGTGGGTCTGGGGGGCTGCTTATTAAAGCCACCAGATCTCATATGTCAGAGATCGCTTTCGGCATACCCCCACCACAACCANATACGTCAGAGATCGCTTTTGGCATACCCCCACCACAACCGCCATTTTGTTTAACCGTCATTTTGTCCAACGGTCATCGTACCATGGACCAGTAGAAATGCTAACCAGACACACTATGGAATGTAATCATTCCACCATAACGGATATTGAATTAATATTATGAAAACGTGACTCTTTCATGTTGGGGTGTAGCTTGCGCCCTCTGAGATCATCTCACAGGGGTGCCGCCGATTGCACCATTATATTTCTAAGAAAGTCAACTGAAAAATTCTTCGCGGAAAAATCGACAACGGTTTGCGCTCGCAAGAGAGGTATTCACCCTCTGTGATGTTTAAAAAGTTTTTTTTTTTCGAATTCCATCTGACAGACTTCATCATTGCGAGTTGGCCAGACAATAACAAAAATTATTAAATTACTATTATAAAAACGTGACTGTCTCGAGACAACGCTTCATCTACCCCTCCAGCAGAAACGTGTGGAGAGGGCTAATTTCAACCGATCCGCCATGATGCTAAATGACAACGCATAAAGACATGAAGATAGAGGGGTGATCTCAGTCAGTTTCGCATCTGAACAACAGCACTATGGCGGTAGTTATTGATATTGAGGGTTTTAAAGATATTGGAAATCAGTTCATTGTGAAAGAATTCGCAATATCTGCATTGGAAGTTAATGAACATGGAAATTTTCTCCATGACTGGGCTCTGGTGGACCCACCTCGCAAATGGGATGATTTGCTACCTAAATATAAGGAAACAAATCAGTGGTTGTCACGTCATCATCACGGGCTGCACTGGGAAACTCCCGGCGATATTGAGTACCAGGGATTAAGTGATTTTGTCAATCGTATGGTGGAGTATGTCCCACACATCTACGTCCAAGGTGCTGAGAAGAAGAAGTGGGTGGATCGGATCCTCAAGAGAGATATACCAGTTGACGATTTGAATGATCTTGGTTGTCCAGTTCTGAATTACCTGAAGGAGGAAAAAAAGTGTACATATCATCATAGCCTTTATGATGGAAGTCCTGTCCACTACTATTGTGCGGTGGATAATGTGGTGCGCTTAAAAAAATGGTACGCTAGATATGAAGCTGGGTCTCTAGAAAAATCTTTCAAAAAGTTTTGTGAAAATCAACATTTGAATTCGTTGACAAGCCAGGAAATTTCTTATCTCCCCAAACACTTCATTGCAACCGTTGCCAAGGACACTGTTGATGCAGCTTGGGAGAAATTGCCAGAGATGATGAAGAGAGATCCAAGCATCGCTGGTTTACGCTATTGTCGCACGCACTGGTCTTCATTGGGTACAATACCACTCAGTCCAACACCTCCAACAATAGCAGAGTACCCTCTATGCCAGTATCGACGTTGATAATATATACAAAATCACTGCACCACGTTCGGTATACTTGGATTCTTTGAAACCCCATCCTCCCTCTCCTCATATGAGATCAGCTTGTATAAACTCTCGTAAACATTGTCAGTTTACCATTGAATTTCGATAGTACCACATCGTAATTATTATTCACTCAGTTTGAACAGAAGAAACAGGATTTTTACATTCATTTGAAACAGTTATTTGTGAAAGTTATCAATTTACGTGTTCAATAGACAAAATGGCGCATCATATAGATTTTGAGATATGTGAGAAATCGTATACATCCTTTGAGGATGTTGCAACATGGAATATGGATGAGGCCTATCATCGTATCCTAGAGAATGTCCTCATACCCTTCAAATGGTTCATGCAATTGCCCATGCCAACGTTGTTGACATACATCATGAGGGCTATTGAGGAAATGGATGGCATCACCGATGTTTATCTATCGTTTGTTGGTGTGCGTACTATTGTGGTTAAAAAAGACGATGTGTACGTCTTCGTCCAGGGACCTATGGCAGATGAGGGAACATCTCCTGATTGCAGCTCATGTGAGGGTAAAACTTCCCCTGAATGTGACTCATGCAATGAGGTAGGAAGCAGTGCAGATATAGAAACGTTGGAGGAGATGAGAGCGATGGAGCAAGCAGATGAAGCGAGGGTGCCAGAGGTTTATGTGAGTCGAATGAGGGACGATGAGGGGGAAGATAGGGTAGAAGATGACCATGTGGTGAGCGTATTCAACGTTGATAGCAGTGATACCTCTTCGGATGAGGTCTCTTTCAACTTTATTTTTGATGGCGAGACATAAAAAGTTGAAAATCAGATGAAGGTGGGGGGATAACCAATGACAGTGCATGGAGTGTATAAGAGGGGGTCTTTCTCCCTCTGTTACCTGTCAGAGAACAAATTGGCAATAGACATTCTTTAATCTTCGAGTGAA